TTGAAAGTTGTGGTAATAGAATCAAATAATCGAAAAAATCTTTACAAACATTTAAATCAATATTTTTCAAATAAAGTATTCTAAGTCGAGTTAATAATATATCATTTTTAATAAATGAAAATATTAAATCGATAATAATTGGATTTGAAATATAAAGTGAATGAATTCGATGAGTATTAGATTTAAAAAATTGTTCATAATGTTGTTCAAATGATATTTTTGATATATTTATAATATTGACACTAATTGAAAGATCTGATAAAGTAAGAAGATTTCGAAATCGTATATTTAAATTATTAAAAATTTCATAAGCTTGATAAGTATCAAGAAAATCAAAAATTTCATAGATTATTTCATTGGAAAGTTCTTCAAAACTAGTGCATTCATTATCCATACTAAAAGAAAAAAGAAATTTATACGAGTCATATCAAAAGTTATGTATATTACGTGAAATTATATCGAATAATTTATTTACAATTGAGCAACTGGATTTTTTCCCGGTTGAGATTAGCGCAACAATACGAATTTCTATGTTGTCACGGTTTATTTATCTTTCGTGCTTCTTGCTTCAATTTTATTCCCAATCAACTGACCGATACATTTCTTATATCACAGCAAGGTCAATATATAGAAAGGAAACGTTATATATAATTAGTGGCCTTGTCCAGAAAGAGATGTAGCATGATTGGTTACATATGTGATTCAATTTTTTTAAAATTCTTTATAGAATAGAGTATAGGTGTAGCGGCGGCGCCAGGAATTTAGACTAGGGTGGGCTCAGATAAAATATCATTGGTTTTTTTAAGATCTGAAAAAAATTTCAAGGTGAGTTGACCCCACCCTTGGCGCCGCCATTATATGGGTGTCAACTTTAGCTGATACCCACACCCATACACTTTCTCGTTCCATTCATAGACTTCTTTATTTTTCAAAAAAATTCGAAACTTCCTGATCCTCTATTTCTTAGGACGGATTAAAACGACGTTAAATATATAATAAAAATCGATAGAAAAAGACAACTGGATATTGATGGTTATATTTATCACTGTCCATTTGGTTTTTCTGTGCCCCAAATATTATCAGTACCAAAATATTGTATCGCTATTTGTTTAGTTTTTGTTGTTGTACCAGCAACATCAATTGGGCTAATTTTTTTTAAGCATGAACGATCAGGTTCGAAGGTTGGTGATAACATAAATGATACAGCTATGTTCCAACCACAAGTGCCATCTTCATCAACCATTGGTGATCCACCTAAAGAATCGTTAGATTTTATTTCTATAAGAAACTAGATGAAGTACCCAAGGTTGTCCGAGGACTCGCTTAGGTCTTTCTCTTAGAAATGAATTCTCTTCACATTTACTGAAAAAGCAATTGAAAACCGTAGAAAATAGATTTTCGATGTTTTTTTTGACCCTGCGGACATACAAGCAATCAGACAGTTTATGTTTACTGGACTCTTCTCTACGAGAAAGAGAACTTACCTAATGCAGTATGTCCTGTTCGAGGTATTTCAATATAGATAAAATTTGGATTTACCATTGAATATTGTTTAAAAAAATGTCGAGGAATCGGTAATGGCAATGCTTGATCCATATCCCCTGCAATAATTCAACGTATAGTTATTATATATTAAATTTTCAAACATACCATGTAATAATAACATTGGCATTTTAGTTTGTTTTGTTGGATATTTTCTATAATATTGATCAGTAGGATATCCTAAGATTTTTCTTTCTTCAATTTCACAATAAATATCCGGCATAACATTTGTAGAAGTAAATGTATTGCTTGATATTCCTTTTAAATATTCACATGTTGGATTTTTTTCGTCTACTTTCAATGGAGCCCATAATTCAGCAAGATTATTATTTAATTCAACTAAAATTGAATATCCTACTGCTCCATCTTGATCTGGGGGTTGAGTTACATTTGAAAAATATTTTATAACATTCTGATCATCTTGATTACATCGATTGATTCGATAAATCAATGCAGGTAATAATTGCATCGCTTCAGGATATAATATAAATGACATCTAAAGAAAAATTTCTTATTTATAATTAATAAATAATATTCCTATACTTTATTTGCAAGTTCAGTTGTAGTTATTTTTAATAGATAAAGACAAGATGAATTATCAAAAAAATCTTCATGCATTTTATATGTATAAAGAGCACGTGATGGATTATTATCTTCAAAATATTTAGCACATCCTTGTTGATCTTGTGAACAACGTGTAAATAAATCTAAAAATATATAATTTAAATATTTATCACCATAAACTAATCGTGTTGTATCCGGTGGTAGAACAGAATCAAATATAACAGCATCAACTTGTTCAGATTCTTGTGTTACATGAAGATATCGTTGTAAAAGATAAGTTCCTTGACTTGAACCCATTAAAATAACACGTTGATTTGGTTTTATATTTTCACGATTTTTACCCATAACAACATTAAGAACATATTCTAAATCATGTGCTGTATTTGTATATGTATTTTGTTTTAAACGATATTCATTTGCTTTAATAAATGATAAACAACCCGTAAAATTGTGAACAATTGATGTTGGACATTCTAATCGACTACTTTGACCAACACTACGTTTATCTGTAACATAGACTGAAACTGAACCATTGAGTGCACCAACAACAGTTACAGCTTCGATTTCTAATGATGTTACAGGAATACCACCACCACCTATTTAAGAAAAATTTTATTTTTCATTATAAATTTCTTCGAGGTAAATCATACCTGGTATTCGCCAAAAATGATGAGATATATTTTCATATCCTAATAAAAAATAACGTTTAACATATATTTGAATCGTATCTGAACATGTTGTTAAATTAGTTGAATTCCAACTAATAGGAACATTTAAGAACATACATTCAGCATAAATATTATTAATTGTAAATGGCTAAAAAAAATATTTTATTTCATTATGAATTAATAAAAAAAAAGAAACATACGCCATCAGAAAGAACAGAACAATTTGACCAATTTGGTTTAATTATTGGCCAAGTATTCAATGGTGTACAAGTTTGACAATTGATGAAGTTTAATGAAATATCGAGCAAAAATATGGTACTCAATAAATACCATTTTATAATAGGAGAATGCATTATTATCGAATAATAATATTATGTTTTGAAATTACGTTCGTATAAATATAAAAAGAAAATCTTATGTTTGTCGAATTTGTTAACGATGAGTAATAGAAATAAATCCTTCTTTAAATGTTAACATTGACTGATATTTTGATAATATATATATATATATGAAGGTAACCGAAATGCAAAACAACTAACGATAGTATTTGATCTTTTAAAACAATGTCATTAATATTCCACAGTTAAATAGAAAATATAATTTTTAGTGTGTGTGAGGATGGGTGGTTGGTTATAGGCAAAGATACGAATATGACTAAAGAAAACATACTCACACCCACACCCACACCCTACTTGAACTACAACGAGCAAAATATTTAATTTAAATAGAAATAATTTATTTTGAAATAGTTAAAATAAGGATACGGATGAGAAGTGTAAGCGAAGAATGAAAGAAACATCCACAACTGCAAGACTGGAGAATTAATTTAATGTTCGCATCCAAAGTAAAAGTCTATTTGATAGATAATATTAGATTTCGTTCAGAACAGAAATTTCAGTATGAGAAAATTAGATGCTTTCAACCATTCCCAAACAAATGACACCTAATGATAAATATTTCGAAAACTTCAGCTAAATTGAATGTAATTTTATTTTTCTGTAAGTAAAAGAGAAAAGAAAGATTTAGAGTTTATTTTTGGCATTTTCTATGTATTGTTTGCTTGATTCAATGTCGGAATGATTCAGTGGTAGTATTTCCTGGTATAATTCAAGTGCTTTTTCATGAAATAAAAGTGCTTTCGAATATTCTTCTATATCCATATAAACTAAACCAATTTTATTGTAAGAATGTGCCATAAAAGAGAGATCCGGTGGGACTAGTTGTTGATTTGTCTCAAGAGCTCGTTCATGAAATGATAGAGCTTTCAAATTTTCACCCATCTTATGATACGTTGAACCAATATTGTTGTAACATAGAACTAAATCAATATGAGATGACGAATGTATTTCGTTCAAGATGGACAGAGATTTTTCAAGAAATGAAAGTGCATCTGAATATTCGCTCATATCGTAATAGATCATTGCGATATAGTTGCAGGACACACTCAACAAAGAATAATTGAGAGGAAATGTTTGTTCATAGATGTGATGAACTTTTTTCGAAACTGTAAGTGCTTTCATGTAATCTCTTAGCGCATTGTATGCGAAACGTATATTATCATAGGATGCAGTCAACAAAGAATGATTTGGAATGCGAATTCGTTCGTTAATTTCGATGGATTTTTCAAAAAACAAAATAGCTTCTGTATATTTTCCAATGTTAGAATGAGCCACTCCAATGTTGTGATAAAACTGAGTCAAATTAGAATCATGTATAGGTGATGTTTTCTCTAAAATTTCAATGGATTTTGTAAAAAATGGAATTGCTTTCGTATACTCCTCCATCTGATAATAGACAAAACCAATCATATTATAACGTTCAGCAGAAGTAACATCATCGACAGGAAGTATCTGTTGTTGAATTTCGAGAGCTTTTTCATAAAATAAAAGTGATTTTGTGTACTCTTCGATGTTGTAATAAACCGAACCAATGTTGCTGTAGACTTCAGTTAATTGGAAATGAGACAGAGATAATGTTTTCTCCAATATTTCAAGACATTTTTCCATAAATAAGAATGCTTTCGAATATTCTTCCATGTTCATATATGTTGTGCCGACATTTTTGTAAGCTTGAGCTAAGTCATGAGAATCCGATGGAGGTTTTTGTCGATAGGTTTCCAACTCTTTCTCATAAAATGAAAGTTCGTTTATATAATCACCCATATTTTTGTAGGATGTTGCCAATGAAATATGATTTGGAGAAAGTGTTTGTTGACAGATTTCAAGAGTTTTCATATAATGTGAAAGTGCTTCCGATTTCTGTGTCATTTTATAATATATGAGAGCAATTGTGTCATAAGATTCTGTTAACTCAAGCCTATCTGAGCGGAAAGCATCTGAATATATTGTAAGAAGTTTTTCGAAATATGGAAGTGCCATCAAATATTGTTTATCATGAAAATACAGTAAACCAATATTCTTGTAAAATCTAATCAAATCTGGATCATTTGAGGAAAGTATTTCTTCATGGATTTCAAGAGCTTTTTTAAAATATAATAATGCTTCTAGATGTTGTCCTAAGTTGTAATATGCCGAAGCGATGTTATCATAACAATCAACTAAATTGAAAAAATAATAAGGGAGCTTTTGTGTAAAAATCTCGAGAGATTTTTGAAAATAAATTAATGCATTCGTGTGCTGACTCATTCTACTATATACCACACCAATTCTATTGTAACATCTGGCCAATTCAAAGTAGTTCTGAAAGAGTGATTTTTCGAGCATTTCAATGTTTCGTTGACAATTATCAATAAATTCGTAGTATTCATTTTCTTGTAAATTTTTCGCAGGACAAGAACACGATATTGTTCTATAGTTGTCATTTAATATAGGTTCAGTTAATGTTGCATTACTTTCTTGAGTTTTTCTCTCATGATTTAAGTTTCTAAGACGTTGTTCTATTCGTTGCCATTCGTCTGGATCACGAACTACTCCTATGATATCTGGTATGGTAGTATCGGATATGAAATCGTAGTCACGGATGAGGATGAGTTCTGCACGCCAAAATCAGTTGTTTTCTTCCATTGGTTGAATACCAATGATACGAAAACTAGTCTGCATGGAAAAAAGTATTTCCTCTTCGTATGAACCGAAGGCTATTTCGTTATTAAGACGAGCAAAAGGAATAGTAGATCGAATTGGATTAATTGACATAACAAACAAAATACCAATTAAATCTGATTTTTGTGAAATTTTATGAGCGATTTCAAAAGATAATTCATAATTTTGACTTGTTAATAAGAAGTTGTTGAAAGATATCAATCCATGTTTACTCTGCTTTAATTTTTCAAAATCTTGATCAGTTAATCCTTGACTATGATAGACAATAAAAGAATCGTGATGATCTACAGATTGTTCTCTATAAAGTTTTTCGATTTGTTGATGAATATCGATAAGAAAAAACTTGACCTTATCGATAGTATCTGTATCTAAAGTTCGTAATGCTTGTGTAAGTAAAGGATCTAGACAACATGCATATGTAAACCACCAAATAGCTTTCTGTTGGTCATATTCCTGAGCAAATCTTTCCAACACTTTTAACATTACATGATTATATGGATATTTTTCACGATAATATTTCGTTAATTCGTTTACTTGTTCATAGGAACGATCATCGATGTTGTTAAATACATTTTTTTTGAAGAGATAAATGTATGAAAAAGATTGATCTAATATTTCATGTGACAAGCTAAAACTTATGGCAATTGAATCTTGATTGCATTCTTGTATTGTTCGTTTTAAGGCATTACAGATGACTGAAATTTCGGTATAAATACCAGTTACTTTTAACCAATTTTTAATCGATTGATCATCATATGATTCGTGTTGCAGTAAGATATAAATAGAATTAACTTGTGAAATGTGATGAATACGCGACATGATAGAATCACTGATAGGACCACGAATGATCAAAAATATTTTTGCATGTTCATTTTTCATTAAAAACTCAACGCATCGATCGATATTCGTAAATATGTTAATGCCATCAACAATAGGTTCTAATTGCATTATCGAATTGTAAAAATTTGTTTTCAATTCCTTGATATTGAAATCGTAGATAACAACAAGTCGTTCTTCATATTTTTTACAAACACCATTGTGAATAGCATAATATTCATCAATCAATGATTGACTTAATTCATGCCAATTGTAATTAGAATTTATACAAACATTATTATCTGTTTGTCCAAGATTTAATCCCATAAGAATAAGAAAAATTATCTTCATTATAAATGTCATTCGTAATAAATAAATTTTGTTTTTCTATCACAATTACTAAAATAATAATGCAAATTAGACATATATATATATCTTCGTCTTGTAAACAAGAAAAACAGAAGTAGCAAATCGAGTATAGAAAGAAAAATTTTTGTAGTTCTTAACTTTTTTTTCATTATATTCGTATAGACACACATGTATGATATGTGTGCAATCAACCGAGAAAAATAAAGAAAAAACGAAAAAAGATTATAAAATCAATGCAGTGCATTCAACCAACCACGTGTATATATATATATATATATATATATATATATATAATATTTATGTAGTAATATTAAATGATAAAATAATCTAAACTATTTCGTTTTTTGAGAAAGAGAAGATATGAATGAAAGTAAATATTATAAACGATCATTAATAATTTCAGATAGATTAATCCAATTCATAACTGTCATTTACTTGTACATGTGAAACTGATCATCTTTATATGTAGAATGTTTATTGATGTTAATACTCTGCTAATTGAAAGAATAAACGAGTAATTCGATGAAGAAAAACATTTTCTTTAAATATAAAAATCTTTCTCAAATAATATAATTAAGATTTTATTGATTTATTCTTATATGTAAATGATTATTTACTTGAAAATGTTATTAAGAAAAAAATGTATAAAATTAGTTTTTTTTTTTAGATATTTTCATATTGTATTAGATTCTAGGGTGTGAGCGCGATGTCTGAAAAAGATAATACTCACACCCACACCCTCAATTTGCATAATTATCGGAATTTCTCATAATACTTTTGTGTGAGCAACGACAAGGTAGCATTCATTTGCAAACGATTTCACCGGTAAACAAAAGTCGATGTCTATGCAATGGTAACCTAACAATGCTCTTAAATTGACGACACAGAGCATCTATTACTTAATGTTGCATAGGAAGAAAAAAATGTTTGTGTTTTGTTTACACTTTTTTTGAGTATGGAGAATGAAAGAAACGATTTCAATACATTTTTCATATTGAATTATTTTATTTGGTGCTTTTGCAGAATGGGTTGTTGCTGTGGCAAAGGTAATTCAGCGGTTGGTCCACTTAGTAATATTAAATTTACGTCACTCAATGGTACAAACTCAAATAAAAATCTAGAATTATCTCGATTTAGTAAAATTGGAATTAGCACTACTAATCCTCTTTTACTTATTAAAGGTTATAAAAATAAGCCTTTATTACCACTTGAAGAAGCACTCAAACCTTTCAATGGAAAGATTCCTCATTTAGATGAACAAATTAAAGAAGCAAAATCCAAATGTCATTATCCATCAGAACATAATCTTACTCACGATGAATCTGCTGCTATTTATCTGTATTCGATGGGTGGCAATGAAAATTCGGTTTATAATCGTTTACAAAAATCATGGGCATCGAATAGTCGAACACAAATGAAACCATGGTTCAAATATTTGAAATTACTGAAGACTGGTTTAAATAAATTATCTAATGTCGAAGTAGAAGCTTGGCAAGGAACATTTTATGATAAAAATTTAGAGAAAACACTTACATCGAACTCATTAAAGTTATATACTTGTATGAGTCCATGTTCACCATCCGTTCAACAAGTCAAGAATGATATTCATGGTCAGGCAAATTCAAAGAAAATATTAGTTGGATACAGATCTGTTAATGGGAAAGATGTCACCAGTTATACAGTTAACAATCAAAAGGAAATAATGATTTGGCCCGGAATAAAACTGAATAGATCAAAAGAAAACGAACATGATGAACATGGCTCTTTGATTTTTCATCTGACAGGCAGAAAAAGTAAGTGAAACTGTTATTTTTCTCAAAATTGTGTTATGAGAAGGTTAGCGACTCTTGATGTTGTATAATCTAATAAGTAGAATTTCTCGGGTATGTTTTTCAGTTAAATTATTAACGTATAGAATCTGTCAGAAAATGCATGAACTCGAATATTTTGCTGCAGTCTAAAATGTTTTTTACACAATTAGAAAGTCAGTTTGAACAAATATGTTTACTAGAAATTTTCTTTAATGATATCAGTCATTTACAACGATCAATCTATATAATAATTACCCGATAGTTTCGAGACTTAGATTTTATATATACGTGATATGCATAACTGTAAACAAATGTTTTAATAGATCCGCGCCGAAAAAAAGTAAATCAACGTGAAAAACATTTCGTATGTCCAACGGTTTATTGTCATAATTATTGCCGTGGTGGTCATGCTCTTAATCATTGTTATGGTTTTTCTCATCTATCTCATCAATGTTCACATCATTGTGGTCCTATTAGCAAATGTTTTCTCTGTAGAAAACATCTCCCAAACTTACGTGAATGCAAACAATGTCATGTAGTTTTTTGTGAAGAATGTTCTACCCAATAAACAGACTCTCTTCGACATTTACAAAAACTATCTAACAATTGATCTATGAAAATAAATATTTTTTATGACTGTAGTTTGTTTTGAATTTTTCATATTTTTAAAAAGAACAGAAATGAATAAATATAAAACAGTATCATGAAATGGAACTAAGAGTGAATGTGGATATGGATTCATCTTTTATTTACCCACACCCACACCCTATTTATTTACAAGACATTAAAAATAATTAAACAATATTTATTTATCATTAGATATTTCCTTATCGTCTACATAATAATAGTTTTATATCAACTCACTTTATTTATACATCCTCACCATCAGGCCCTCGCCTTCAGGTTCTTATTTTCAGATCCTCATCCTCAAGTCCTCACACCAACAATATTCAAGTAATCAGCAGTTGTAGTACCGGTAAGTACAAACATGATAATTGCCAAATATTTGTATAACTGTAGATGCAACTTCAACTGATAATGATATTGAAGCTGATCACATTGCAAATGTCAAAGCAGATGAAATCAACAATAAGAGAAGAAAAAAGAAGAAAACTAACTAATGGATAATGTCGAAGTTCTCCACCCTGTGTCATATAAAAGGTTGGCTTGAACACGACAATTAAACGAATAATTTTGACTAATATTTCGTATTGTTATTTGTTGTTGCCCAACACTGGAATTGATTCACAGTTACATATAAGCAGGTATGAGAATGGTATAGTTGAGCTTCATCTTCATATATACGTCGATCGTAGAACAAAACGGAATCTACGACAAAATTTAGTTTTGTGGACAGAGAGTGACAAACAGAAATTCTTTTTTTGCTCGTAGATAAGGATAAAAAATTACTTTTTATTGCTCGCAGTCAAGGACAGACAAAACTGTTCTGTTGTTCGTAGACAAGGACAGACAGAGAGATATTGTGAAGGTAACGTTTTTAGAGAATGTAATTCAAAACATTTTACGACGCGTTTCGATCAGGACTTAATCTAATCATCAGTGGATATGTTCCGATTATGAATTATTCGAATAGCACATTGAATGATAGTATCGTGAAGGTGTAATATCTACGATGTTTTTCTATTGCACAAGAACATAAGAAACGAAACGGCAGCTTTTATGAACAAAGATAAATAGTGTTATAAATGAGGGTGGATATGAGTACTTATTCTAGTCTTGTACCAAAAGTGCATGGATATAGATGAGAATACAGATATATATGATAGTGTGATTTTTAGGACAAGTGTCGTTCGTCAATTTGGATGTGCGAGTGAACAGATCTGAACTTATTGAAAGATAAACATCGCATATATAGGAAATTTATTTAATATGAATCTAATAATGTCAATAACTATGTTAGATAGAATATAGGGAATGTAATTTCAAGCTTACTTTTATGATATAGTTTAAAGTTAAACTGAGTATTTTGTCATGTACATGGCTCTCATATTCTTGATCAAATTTAGTATCACTTCAGCTTGTCAATACGAGTAATTGATTAATCAAGATATTCTTATATTTGTATTCAAATCAGTGTAAGTTTTATATGTAGATATTTATTGAAAAATAGATTTCTTAAGACTTCATTTAAAAAAAAAGATTGTTATTCATTACGTGTTATTAATTGATTTTTATATATTTATTATTGTCAAACAGATAGCAAGAAAACTAATCATTTATGTTGTTTCAAATTAGTGTAAGATCGAAATAATTTATGCATTAAAAAAGACTTATCTTTATAGCTATTGAAATTTATATAAATATAGAGAAATAAATACAAATAATATCGTTTATTGTAATTAAATATTTTAATTTTTTTTTATTCTAATCAACTTTTGCTTATTCTACAGGTTTATCGATAATAATATCAATCTATATGAATTTATACACTGAAATAAATATTTTATTTTTCAGTTTGATTTATTATTCATATTTTTTGAGAGTGGGTTAGAATAAGATGATGATATCTCACTCACAACATTACCAATACTTACACCGTCGCCCTCAAATAATGTTAGCATTTAGAAGTTGCACAATCTGATTGTTGCCTACCATTATGGCGATAACAGTTTACTTTTATTACTTGGAAATTTTCTTTCTTTCTTGCTCGTTAGATGACTTTGCAACTTTACCATCGTAATAAAAGCAAATGAATGAAACTTTTTTATTGTTTTAACTGAGAGTGTTACTTTATCTTTACTTTATAAATGAAGTTAAAGAAATAAAGTAAATCTTTACATTTATACGATAAAGATAAAGTAAGTCTGTATATTTATAAAATAAAGATAGTTTTTTCATACAATAAGTACAGATACAAATACTCTGTATGACAACAGAATACGTTTATCAATGCTCTTTCTTATCATCATCATCATCATCATTTCCATATGCCCTATCGTTAAAAAAAAGTATCACATAAGAAACGGTATATACGAAAAGTGTTATTTCATATTATAGTTAACTATATAATATCATAATTTTGTGTCAGCTGCTCCAAGGAAATAAAAAAGTACGTTTCGATAGAAAAAATTCTTTATCCTTTATTTTATATTTATTTTCGAAAATAAAAATAAAATAACACCCCTA